GGAGTAAGGGAGATGGTTTGGACTTCATGGCAGTTGCGAAGACAAAATTAGTCTGTCCATATAAACGAAGTCAATTTACAATATTAACATTGTCCACTGCTTGTGATTTAGTGACTCAAACATTCTTTGAATAAAACTTGTAATTCACGGGTTATTTACATGGTTTTGGCGGCGGCGGTGGTGATGTTAGTTAGCATTGAGTATGAGGGGAGAGATTATTTGTTTACGATTTTGATTTTCAAATGAGCAAAATATTGCAATGGTTAAAGAATTTGGGGAATAATGTCTTTACACACAGTAAAGTCCGCTTTAACGAAGATGGCCTTATAACGAAGCTTTTTCATGGAACCGATTCAGTCATATACGCTTAGCGCCCGGTTTAACGAAGATTTATACAGTGAAATTCACTTTAACGAAGTCTCACTTTAACGAAGATCGCTTTATAACGAAGTTCTTTCCAGAACGGATTCATATATTTCATATAAAAAGACAGTTCACTTAAGCGAATTTTCAGGCTAATGAAGCAAAATCGTGGAACGAATGTCTTCGTTAAAGTGAATTTCACTGTGTAATTAAAATTTGTACAACATATAGCGAAGAAATTTCAAACCCGCTATAAGATAAACCATTCAATTTTAACTAAATTAGTATGATATATCGAAATTTTGGTGCATAACGAAGTTCAGTGAAATTCCACGATTTTTGCTTTGTTAACCTGAAAGTTCGCTTAAGTGACTGTCTTTTTATATGAAATGTATGAATCCGTTCTGAAAAAACTTCGTTATAAAACAATCTTCGTTAAAGTGAAACTTTGTTAAAGTAAATTTCACTGTGTAGTATTATTGTAATAAAGATGTCTAATTCTTCGCCCATTCAGGTTGCAAGTGATTGTCTCACCATTGTTAGGTATAGAATCTTCCAAAAAACGTCCCCGAGCTAAAGACGAATATTATTTCGGGTCAAAGAAACTACGTACAAACCTTACAATTGTTATGAAGAAGGAAATATATGTCAGTACATAGTACAGAAGTAAACGAATATCACGTGATTATAATGAAAGTTCGTTATATAAGTAGAAGTCCGCTTTAACGAACAGTCCGCATTAACGAAGTTTTTTGGCGGAACGGAGCTCTTCGTTAAAGCGGACTTTACTGTGTAAATATGTTTATGGTTGTCGGTATTTGAATGGCGGAACCGAAAACGCGTATGAAGCATGCGCATAAAACATGCAATCTTATAAAGTATAGTATTGCGGAAAAAGGTGATGCTACTAATGTTTGTCATACTCCTATTGTATACCGAGTACGATAAGTGAAAAACGGCATGAAAAAATTTAATTAACAATCAAAGGTTTCTTATAATAGCCACTCACACCCCCTGCCGTCTTTCCAACCCAAATGGTCACTATATCGAGAATGTCCTTATATCGAGAATTAACTTACATACGACAACTAAGCAATATAGATTTTCTGTTCTACGATGTCGTTATATCGAGACTCACTTGTAATGAGACTACACTAGCAATAATCTGCTATCAAAAACAGAGTTAATAATAATTTCTGAAACTTATAGTTCACTGGGATTGCGAAAAACATTATGCTTTCGTATTTCTGAGTTAGTTGCTATATAGAAGTAGCTATTTTGCGTACATCAAATCTCGGCGCTTGAACAATTTATATTGTAAGCATTAAGACAAGACATGGTATAGTTTGCTAGTGAATTCTGTAACCGTTTCTTCCACGCAACAGTTAACTTCCACTTTTATGGAGAAGGTTTTCGAGCAAATCTCAAACTCACGTTAATTCTGTCCTTTATGGAAACCAGCGGATATGTCAATTACTATAAAACATTCCAATAATAATAGCGATATATTAATATTTAAACTCTTTCTATTTTTGATATTTATCCAGCCAACAAACCAAGTCACATTTTAGACTGTACGATTTTGCTGGAAGTGACTCACTTGAACACATCACTTTCTCAAACGCAACCATGAAAAACGCATTCCTCCTATGATGCCGACATCTAAGAGACCCACAATTTTGGTGGTATTTAAGACTTCTCGCGAGGAGGTTCAAAATTAAGATGTGAACACTGTTGCCAAGTGCTCTGTTGGAAGTGGAACAAGTGGAAGTGGGGAATAGTAATTATTGTAAAGGATATTTGAGAGGGATATACCAAAATGAACAATGATAGTGGAGTTAAGAACCAACATAAAAGAACCAATTGCAGCGAAAAAAATACTACGGGCTTCATGGGCGGCCATTAGTCAATATTTGAACATATTGTTTGTTTTGGATTTCTGTAAATAAATTGATAGGCTCTTAGAATATTGGAAGTAGAGGAAGTTAGATTAAAAGCGAATAATTAATTTTGATGATTTTTTTTTCTTAGACAATTTTCTGTTTCCTTCATTCTTTCTATAGAGAGCGCATCAGTGGATTGAATTTATTGATCTAAAGAACGAAAGCATAAAAGTCCAACTGATAAATTTTATTAGTTTCACACTGGCTGCCCAGTTATTTTTATTACGCTCTCGTCAAGCTTCTTTTTGTGAACCACCACGTCTAACGAAACTACGAGTACGTGAAGATAAAAAATTGATGCGCTGACTCAAGACAAAGTTTCATGTTAGTCTGTCATAATTGAACAGAATAAGTCAATAAAAAACGACCAAATTGGTCAAAGTAAGAGATACGGGATGTTAAGTCTTCTCCGAACTCTTCTTGAACTGAGGAACTACCGATGTCAGAGATAAACGCCAGAGTAGGTAAGTATCCAAGTCTATTATTGCAAAATAAGCTGTGTTGATAATAAAGACTATATATACTACAAGTCAACCTCGATAAGTCGGCCCAGGTGGGCTAACTCAGTTAGGTGGGCTGGGGGGCTATTATCGAGAACACGTGTCCTAACTGAATATAATAAATTTAATTTGTAAAAAAACTATCTAGAGTAGTTTGTTTCATTGAATTGATTTGTTTCTTCCTTGTTTGATTTTGTAAGTCTCTTATTTTTAATACTAAGGAACAATCTATGCTAAAGTCATTCTGTTGTAAATCACTCAATATATTTTTGGTAATACTGTAGATATAAATTATTTGGTATTACGTTATAACGATAACGTATCGAACTTACTGTAACAACGTTCTTAACCAATAGAAAGAACACTTTTATCACGTGAGACCGACTTATCGACACTATGACCAGTTTTGAGGTATTGACCGACTTAGGTCTTATCGAGAAATATATAGATTGGCCGACTTGAAGACATTTGGCCTAAGCCTAATTATCGAGAAACCCGACTGGCCGGGCCGACTTATTTGTATTACTATGTGGGTTTCAGAGGTGTTAAAAGAGGACCCCAAATTTGAAATGCTCAAATTGTTGTATATAAAAGGCGAGAAGGTGAAGAGCGTTGTCTTTGGAATGATTACGCTGTACTTTGTTAACATGTAACGGAATCAACCACTCAACGAGACATGTTGACCCTCGGGAAAGCCTTTTGTATATATCCGCAAATGGTAAAAGCTTTAATTTAACAAGTGCTTAGCCATCCAATCTTTGTACGCTTTGATATCAGATTCTATACTACGATGTCCTATTATGGTGATGTTATCGTATTTAACTAATTGGCTAGACAAATTCATCGACACTTTTTATTTTGCTCGTTGGGGCCGGTTTCTTTGTTTCAATGATAATAATAAACATGCCAACTATTCGTTTCAGCAAAATTGTGATCTCCTCGTTCTGATTTACATTAATATGCGATTAACGTTAAGCCGTGTATAATGCGAATCTAATGCTAATGTAGAACATGATGTTCTATTTCGAGGTAGTTTGTGTTTCACAATCTCTAGGGAATGCAATCGCTATCCGAGATCTGTACAGTAAAGCTAAATCCGGTTATAAACGCTGAGTGCGTCTTATGACGTTATGAATATATGCGCTTGTTGACTATTTGTTTGCGTCTTTGTACAAATCCATATTTGAAATACTTTTTCAACCTAAATAGACTTGCTCCAAACCGGGCACTCCAATAGGACAGCGTGATTCGATTTTCCTCAAATGGTAGAGTTGTTTACGATAAATTTATAAATTTGTAATATTACACTAAAATTTAGTGGTTCGTTTCTTGATGCTTGGACATGCGAGATTAACGGGAAAGGGACGAGGAAGAGGAACATGGGTGTATTGTGCCTAGTGCCATCAACTGTGTTTGCTTTTCCCTGAACATATGCTGTATGCCAATGTTACGTGGGATAGTTGTTTACCTCGCACTATCTAAATTAATAATTATTTATCTGCCACTTAAAGTTTGTTTCTGTTGCACTAAATAGGGCAGCACGCTGATACGATAACAATGTGCAAGCTATCCTTGCCATTTTGGAGCGATAGAAGAGTATTGCCTCGTCGTCGGTGACAGAAAATAGGAATCACAAAAATAGAATGTCATGTGCTTATCGTTCACACAATATAAAAATTCAGTTACAAGATATATTAAATGTTATATTAATGTACATTTGTGGGGCCTTGCATTCAATTACCAGTTTAATGCAACAAAATTCCCCGTTAGCACCACTCATCATCATAGATTAAAGTGTCATATCAACATAATATCTAATGTTCATATTATGCATATGCAACGTTACATGCTGGGTAACAATTGATTAAACTTTCCCGCTATAATTTGCAGTTGATTGGCGCTGGGCAGAATAACACTACACTACGCGCTCAACTATGTATGCGATGTAATTTATCGATTTATATACTCGCACCCATCCCACCCCTCCCATTACATTTTACGAAGTGGGTGATAAAAAAAGAAACCGTCAGACGAGGCAAGAACAATCCTGAACAAAATTCCCACAATACCCGAACTTCTAACTCATTGCGTGCCCCTGTTAGAGGCAGCGCCACATACATTGCATATACAGTTATATACATATCCGCTTATATATATATATTATTTTTTGGCACGCTCCCTCATTCTCACAAACATGCTAAAGTTTGGCATAAAACTACTACAGGATAGAAAGTCAAGAGAGGTAAGCATAATGATCAACGACAATGGATACAGCTGTCAAATACGTTGTATACAATAGTCACATCAATTATCATATCTCTTCTATCGCACGCTCCAACCAACTTATACCTAATATCTTCTTTTCCTTCCTTTGCTTGCTCCTCCTCGTACTTTCGCTATGTCATGCTCTCTAATTCCAGGTCAAAAATGGTAATGCTGGAACACATTCCCCTCTCCCAGCCTTTGAATGGCAACTCGTTGCAACTCCTCAAACCACGGGCTCCGGACACCTTCAATTACCTGATGATGCCATCCTTGGTTCATCCGGAAAACGTCGTCATTCCTCTGTCCGTTGTAGCTCATCCCCTAAAAGAGATACGCTCGCTTCCCCCGAATCCTCTAGATTGCGCATGATACAAATCATACACAGTGAAGAAGCACGAGCAAAGTTCCGAACTTACCTGGTGTCGCAGTACTGCGAAGAGAATTTGGACTTTTATGTTCAAGTTATGGAATATAGAGAAATATTCGAAGAAGTAGAAAGATCAATGCTAAAAGGAGAGGAAAGAGCAATGAGGGAGAAAGACATGAGACGAGAGGCTATTAGCATGGCTAGCTGCATATGGAATTTATATTTGAACGACGAAAAAGCAAGTAAACCATTAAACGTTCCCAGAGAGTTGAGCAATCATTGTCGAAGAAATGTCGAAGAAGGAAACTACACTGTGGACTTGTTTGACAAACTACAACAGCATTGTTTCGAATTGATGGTCCAAGATTCTCTTCCAAAATTCTCCCGTAGCTCAATGTGCGGGGACAACTCGAAATCATCAAACAAAAAGTCACACTCATCATCATTCTCAGCCTCTTCCTTCCTCCGTCCTCCATCTTTCATCACTCCATCCTCATTCCATCCGTCCTCCTCACCACGAAAGACCGCATCGAATAGTTCACTACGAGCAAGCTTTTCAAATATTGCATCAATTGTATCTCAATCAGATTTAGGGATACGCACAGTGAACCTGCTCGCGCACGGGAGAGGTATTCCCGAGAAACGACAACTTCCACCATCACCCCCATCACCATCGTCTCAATCATCGTCTCAATCATCGTCTTCCTCATATCTGTCCTCGTCTTCGGTACAATCCCACCAGCAGGGCGGGTTTCATAACAGCAACGCCAATAGTAATAATCATAATAACAACAATAACAACAACACGACCTCCACATCCCAGAACAGAATATCAATGGCTTCGTTTTCGAGTCTTACACGAAGAATGTTGTCACCACGGAGAGATTCCGTGTCATCCATATCATCACAGGCAAGTACAATTGGAGCGACAGTTAGTACAAACACTTCAAGAAATTCGTCAGCAAATAATTCTCCAAAGCTACAAGGAATGCCTGGGTGTTATCCTCCGCCGAGGGTTGGCTGTGCTAACATACTGTCGGAAAGGAGTGATAATAATAATGATGGGTTTGAAAGGGAGTACGACGTGTACGAGGTTGAAGCAAAGGACAATGACAATCAACATCTTGGTGGTTATTATAATGAAGACAGGCATAATTCACCTAATGTTGTATGCCAAAAACGTATGAATAACGTGCATCCTGCGATATCAGAGTTGAGCGTCAACCTAAGACGCAATATGTCTGCTCCTAATCTTCATCTAAATGTAGTTAGGCCGTCCTGGGTTCATGGAGGAAATTTAGATAGGTCTTTTATGGACAAGTCACTACCACCTACTCCTTCATAGAGAGTTTTATAGAATTAAATTTTACATTCGTTTTAATTGATTTCTTTTGGCAATAGAGACGTTGGATTTGTCTTGATCACGAAATCAGATATTTACAATCGGATAGCATTCTTCTTACTCACTCTATTTATTAATTACACACTTCTTCTTGTATACTATTATTCTTACTTTTAAATTCCCCTTATTCCAACTGTGAATTTTCAGCTATCATTACGTTCTTGTAAATTACCCCCTGCATATTTTTTTTTCTCTGCTTTTCGACTTTTTTGAGCTTTGTATAATGAGATAATTTAATAAATTTGACATATTAATATGTAATAAATTCAAAATGAACATGACTCTGTGATGTAGCCTGCTCGGTGACCGCATGCCAAAATCGAATCGAGCCAAAATGAGCAACAACTAAAAAAGAAGCAAGCTGAATATAACCGATACGATCGAGTTAGTAACTACGACAATAACAGCATCGACGATAGAAATATTTATAGGTAATGAACTGATCACAAGAAAAGGCCTCCAATTATAATTGCTCAACATGTTTCCCATACTTCCGTTCCTGCCCGAGCCGAATCGAACACTTGTTTCGACTTTTCATATCCAGAAGAAAAAGGAAAGCAGATTATGCAGTGTACCTATATTTAATTAACACGTCACGTTTATCAAATTATATGTCGTAATTAAAGGAGAGATTATTCGTGAGATTCTGTCAATCGTATACTTTTGGAACTTATTGAAATTAATACGCGTTTATTAATGGAAGAAAAATTTTCTTGGTCAAAACGGAGGCGAAGGATTAGGCTTTTTATTAAGAATTTGTACATAACAATAATTTCCCCCTCCCCATTGAATTGGATTATTCGGTATTTAGAAGAGATCTCTTTACCTATTGTGTGATTCATAGCTATTATGCCACCAAGACAATCCATTAGTCAGTCACACAATCCTGTGCTGGTCAATCGGCCGTACCCATAAAAATAAAAATATTGTACCAATAACCGGCGTACAGTTAAGCTATCAATGTTTTGCTCTTTGTGATACAAAAATGGTATTGGACCATCGCATTGAAGTGTATTATATCTTACGTAATTACAATTTCTGTCCTACATTTATGGAAGTGGTAGATCATTGAAGTCTCCGATAAAGCCGTGCTCGATTCTATAGGATAGTCATGTATGAAAGATACTTAGGTCTAAAACATATCACTGTCAAAACACTGCAGTACTTGAACGCAATCTGGAATAAAATTTGCATAAAAATAGTTACAGTGTAATCCATATATAAGTATGGTGCTTGAACAAGCGTGTGTTTGGGCGCAAATACTGTATTCTTTTATCAATGTTGACACGAGCTTAATTATATTGTGCTTAAGATTCGACTCGAACGTTAAAATGTGATTTACACTAATTATTAAGTTACACAACTATATGCCTTAATTGGCGTTAGGAATGCAGTAAAGAATGATGTTACTTACTATTGTGCATGGGGCAGTAATGACGTTGCTGAGGATTAAATATAACAGTTGTTACTCAACCAAACAAACTTTATGGGAAAAATAGTTGATATTATTTACTTTGTGCGCCAATAGTTTACTGTCATTATTGGATGCTATTCAGTTTATTAGTATACGCGTATGATAGTGATATTCCACGCTCTTTGTTTGCTGCAACGTATTTGACACATCGCATAACAGTAAGGTTAAATGACTTTTTTCTCTTATACAAAATAGGGAGAAGCCAGGAATTGAGAAGGAAGAACTTGTTACAGCACCTTTATGAAAGTTATGTTAAAACTACGGCTGCAATTCAACTCCTCCAAGTGCATATGGAGTCGACTGCAACAAAACCAGACAAAGTGAACATTTTGTTTTGTTTATGAGACCTTTCCTTCTCCCCCCATTTTCTCGCCTTTTTGCGATCGGGTCGAGAACCCTCATATTCATATTATCTTGAATTTAGGATTGCGATGAATATTAAGTCCGCTGAGCTCGGCCTCACTCTGCGCCTCAACGGGGCCAGAAGCCAGAACAACCCGGAAGGTCAACACCATCCTAGAATGACAAAAAACTCGCCACTTGTTCCATTTTCAACAAAAAACGCTTACCTCCCTGTATTGATAGAGCAACGTCCGTGCTTACACCTAT